CAACCAGTCAATCAAAACTTCAAAAGTGAGCTGGCTGCAGCTAAGTGTGGAAGTCAGCAGAACATGCTATTAATGTAACACACTAACAGTGTGTCATCACTACTTCTTTCAAGCTTTCTGCGGTCTCTGACTGCTTATCCTTTCTAGGTCATTTAACTGTTTTGCTGCAAGGTCTACAGGGAAAATACCTTACTGTCCTTAGAGCTTTGAGCTAATAAGTGCTAATATATACTCGTAAAAACCCTCTACTAGGGAGGTAGTTAGTGTGGGTTCCTAACACTACCAGTAAGAGTGTGAAGGAGCTCAGGCTAGATACCATGATATTCCATAATCACTATCTAGGTAGCCGTACAACGAGAATACTAAGCATGGGAGGGAAGGAAGGCCTGGAAGGGAGAGAGGTGAAGCTATTCGCAGAAGGGTTGTGCAGTCGCCAAAGTCACATGACTAGAGTGAAACAGGCAGCCCAGTGACGCAGCCACGCAAAGAGTGTTAGATTAATGAAATCCTTTAGTTTGATTTAGGGAAGTTTTACTATAACTGATTAATCAAGGTGCCATAATTATAAGAAACAAGTAAAGTCTATAGAGTAGGTATGGAGTACAGTCGAAAGATAGATATCATGGTTGGGCAATGGGCATATGCAGCATGGATGTGAGTGTGACGGCTGCGTCACTGGTCTGCGTCACTGGTCTGCCTGGTCTGCCTGTTTCACCCTAGTCATGTGACTTTGGCGACTGACAACCCTTCTGCGAATAGCTTCACCTCTCTCCCTTCCAGGCCTTCCTTCCCTCCCATGCTTAGTATTCTCGTTGTACGGCTACCTAGATAGTGATTATGGAATAACATGGTATCTAGCCTGAACTCCTTCACAATGAGCTTCTTTTTCTTTTCAACTTCTCGCTCAGCTACTCACTCGGCTTCTCTCGCGTGATGCTCTTTGTTGTCCTATTCTGCAATTGCAAATGAGAGCTCGATGGCAACCAGCCAGTTGATGACATGACAACTGAGCCAAAGTCCAATACACCAATCCTGTACATCTTCTCTATCCAATCCTCAACTCATTGACATCTGATGATTCCCTGATGATGGCATCATAATCAGCCTAATGACAAGCCATCAAGCATCCCATCTTATGTGAATCAAGCCTGACCTTGAGCAGAGAGTCACGGTGCTTAACCATACTCAGGATGCAAACCTTTCGGACAAAGGCAGTATATGAGCTTGCAAATAGCAACCAACTCATTACACTCCCTTAATTCAAGACTCTAAGTTTATCTCTTCATGTCTCTCCTGTGCCTTTCCTTCTTCGACAACTTTGCAAAGATGGAGCCTACTTCCGGAAAATTAGTTCATTGGGCCAGACTCATTCGCGCCCTGCCACCATTTCTGAGAGGAATTTCTCGAGCAAACGCATGGACTTGCTGAGAGCGAACAACTGCAGAAGACAAGTTTCTCAACCAAGCTCATTCTCGACGTCCTGTGTCCTGGAATACCATGAACCAACGCAAAGGCAAACAAGAGGAAGGACAGTTGTCGGAGGTCATGCACTGGCGAAGAGCAGTGCCAGAGCTATGGATGATGGCGTTGCAGTAACCAGAGCGCGACAGGAAGAGGCTCAGGTCATTATAGTGCCAGCTGGATTGCTTTTACAATCGTCAACCCAGCTAGTCGCCGACCAACCCCCTTTCTTCTTTTCGTTTTTCTTCTTGTTGTTCTCTATCCTTTTGTCTTTATGGCTCTACAGATCTTACTGCAGCATTGTGTCTGCACCTGAACTGTCAGTCCTACATGGTTAGACTTACGCAAGATTTGATGACAGATGAAACAGTTTGCTCGCCTCGTTGCCGCCGGAAGTGATCCAACTTTCTCTTGAGAATTGATTTCTCGAGACACTATCGAGTTGCAATGATTCAGCCTTTCTGAACTGAGTTACACATTTTATCTGTCACAAAATGAGCCGACCCAACAAATGGCGCGAGACGAAAGATAATTTCGCAAGCCTAACTATGCTGGTATTCGCAATGTTGTCGATATATTGTTCAAGCCCTACCTGCTTCAAATACATCTTCCCATATCGAGGCCCTACTGATCGTGGATACTCGCGGACAACTATCAGGAGCAGAGAGCCTACTTGATAGGCATTGGCAGCAAATATGAGCGAATCATGGACCAGGTGTCGAATGGCATGTACAATGGTGTTTCTTTTACTTCGAAAGCACGCAGCGGCCCTCGTGAGTTTCGCAAATTGCGACCCGTTATTCAAACCATCTCGACCAACGCCTTGTTGAAAGCCTGTTCCGTGATCATTTGGAGCCCTTGGAAGAGATCTCGAAACTTCGTCTGGTAGTTCGGGAAGTCGTGGAATACTGTGGTCTTTTGCTCTTTGAATTGTGTCTTTTCTGGTCTTTCTCATTCTGTCCTTGACCAAGCCATGATCAAGGCTTGAATGAGATCCAGTTACCGATGCGGAGCGGAGTTCTGCTTTACCGGCAGTACAAAATGGCAACATGTCAGTGTCAGTACTGGAATGAGAACCGACCGATCGATCGAGTTCATTATCTGTTGCCCGTGGCTGTACGGAAGCATGACCTTTGCGTCACCTCCTTCTCTCCATCTACGACTCATCAGGAATACAACCGTTCCAAGTTTAGCAACCAGATGAACTTCTTTTTTCGGTCCGCCCACGCTCAGGGATTTTCACAACGGGCTTCAAGCTCTGCAACGCATTGCAAAGCTTAAGCCTTTACAACACATGCTCCAGCTGTCTCTGAGCAGCCAAGATCCCTGATTCTGACTCAAAGATGCAGGTGGTTGCTGGCAAGCGTACATCTGAAGCCCTCCGCCCCCTCCGTCAAGGCTTTAGAGCCATCAAGCATACCGCACCTCCACCAGGGTGCCTTCTGGCGCTGTTCAATGTACAAATGCCCTGACTTACTCGGTCAGGCCATTGAAACGCCCTCACTGGATTATTTGTATGTGAGCTAGGATTGCTGGGTCTTAAACAGACGGACAGCCAACGTTCGCGAGATCATTCATCTTATTAGGCTCCCACATATACAGCATACTTGAGACGCGATCCTCATACTGTCCTAGAAGGAGCACTTATAACTCTATTTGCTGCAGTATAAGAGCAAGTGCGGTGAGATGACAATTCTCATCAGTTACCTACTGTGGGTGTCATCACTCATGAAGTTGATGAGAGTGAGATATCACGGGAAAGAATTTGGAGATTCATAAACTTAACTTATTTATTCTTTGTTATTAGCTACACGGACACTGAGCTGTAATGGTCCAGAACCCTTTAATTAATATCTATCTAAATGAAGAGGTGGGACTGTTGTCTGCTCATAATTTCCAATTTAATACTAAAAGGTGCTTTGAATGCATCAGCTTGAAACCATTTCTCTCATGAAATTTGCGTTTCTTAGACCATGCAACTCAGATGATGGCATGAACGCTGATTGCTATTAACAAGCTCATGTACTGCCTTTTTCTGAAAGCTTTTACATCCTGAGTATAGTTAAGCGCCATGACTCTCTGCTTAAGGTCAGGCTCGATTCACATATGCCGGGATGCTTAATGGCTTTCATGAGTCTGACTACGCAAGTCAGAGGGCTCTGTTGGAGCAAGGTGCCCGCCCTTGGGAGTCTGGCACCTTGCTCATAAAGTGCAGAAGCGAAGATGAATCAGGATATACATGTGCTCGCAAACAAGCTTAACGAGAGCAGCCTTTCTTTGTCCAAGAGAGTCCAATTCCTTCTTGATTCTCTCAATTTGCGCCTCACAAGCATGACACGTTGCTGGCTTTCCGCCAGTTCAAGCTCAGCAGCTTTTGCTTTCAGCCATATCTCTGGTAGCAGCTATGGTATCCGAATGAGCCTATTGCTCGGGTGTTGACCCAGTCTGAGCTTTAATAACCTTTGACCTCCTGTTCGGCAAAGGACTCGTCCTGCAGCTTCAGACAAGGAAAAGGCCATTAAGAAGGCAAAAGAGAACAAAATGTCTTCTCCAGCAATTCCTGAGTCGGCCACTGGCTGGTTTGATAATCGAAAAGGCACCTCGGCAGTCTTCAGTGGCCCGAGTCCGCTCAGTTGACTGTAACATCACATCCTTGCACTGCTTGCCTTTTTGAAGGTTGATGTCCCGAGCTGATTGCTGTTGGCGAGCCTGCCTGCTCTTTCCAAAAGCTTTTGCCTCTTGTAGCAGGCTGGTCAGCACTGCGGGCCCTTTGCTCGATTGCTCGTGGGCACGGCTTTGACTAATGTATGACGGGTTGGTTGATACCTATAATTATGGTTGATAGAGAGGTACCGCCATGTCGAAATGATTGGCCGCCTACGAGACGAGATTGAGTAGAGAAGTGCTATCTTCGTATAAGAAACATATTGCAAGGTGATGTTTGTTTTCGATCATAAAATTCTATCCGACTGGTCCTCCAAGCAAAGCTGAGACGCTGGCTTGAACCCCCAAATACATCGTCAATCCGGCTGTTGGCATTACTGGACGCAATAATATCACATCAGGCGGTCTTAGACTCTCCAATATTGTTGCATCATCCATAGTGACGCAGTTGGTCTCATGTCTCTGATTGGGAACAGGTAAGATGAAACACACCTTAGGATATCCAGCTACAGCCCTCAATTATTTAGTCTAGACGACGGGATTGACTCTTGATTTCCTCTTCAGTATTGTCTCACTTTATGTTAATTTATTGAATTGTTTTCACTTACTGAGTTTGACATTCACTATCCTTAGCAACGCTCACTGTAGTCAATATTACATAGGTCTTGATGATATTGAATTTCAACATTCTTCATTCACTGTAAGGACCTTGGGTGAGTCATTCCATAGCAGATAGAACCGAGTTGGATAGACATAGATACCATCGTCTCCCCCATGCTGCTCAGCTCTTCATCGTCCTTCCTTCATATCTCTGGAGCCAGAGGGCCCTCACTCGATTAGAGTCAATTTGCAGGTTCATCTGCGAAACTCTCGCGATGACTTATACTTTCTTGACCGACCTCTATGGTCAAGTAGGTGAGTTGCCTGTTCACTTTTCCGATGATAGCATGGATCTTCTTGTTTCCGCACATATGCAATCTAGTTTGATAGCTTGCTAACAGTATGACACATTAGAAGCGCCAGCACCACCACCAGCAGCAACACTGGAAGTGGCAGCAGCCGCCGCCTTTTGCCTGCTCCTGTGAGTATTTCTTGATATACTACCTTACAAAGGACGTGTGACTAATCTTAATTTCAGCCCAGTAAGAAGAGGAAGAGAGAAGAGGCCATCAGGCGCAATGAGTGCTATCAAGTATTGCCCCTGGTAAGTTTACAGTTCAACAATAGACATATCAGTGACTAATTGATATTATCTAGATGGCCGACAGGGGCACCGAATTGCCCGAGGACATCCAGGCAGGGCTGAAGGGAGCTAAGCTGCAGCCAGACCTCACACTGGCCCAGCTACTACTCCGGAGTTCTTCGACCCGGAAGGGGATACAGGAGGGGAAAAAGGCAGTGTTAGATGCTGCCAAAAAGGCATTGAAGAGGCGGACGAGAAGTTGAAGGCATGAAGAAGAAGAATGGGGAGAGATGGTGCCACTTGTGTCTACAACATCGAGGCAACATTGTCGCAGTGGACCGCCTAAATGCCACGCCGCAAGGCAAGAGTAACCTCTAACAGACGTCTCTGGCATTCGAGCTCAAGGACAAGCAGAACCTTGCTCCGTTTTGCCTCTCAAAAAGCGACAAGTCCATGACTCAGTAGCATCTGAGGGAAGGCCACGCCATACGGCAAGAGTGCTTCTACGAAGCGTCTCTGGCATCGGAGCTCAGGGACAAGGAACACCTTGTTTCAACACACCTCTTACGAAGCGAAAAGTTCATGACTCAGTAGCATCTAAGGGAAGGCCACGCCACAAGGCAAGAGTACTTTTACGAAGCGACTCTGGCATTCGAGCTCAAGGACAAGGGGGAAACTTGATCCGATCCCGCTCTTTGCAGGAATCGTTGGTGATATTCGTCGCAAGAGCAGAATGGTAGAGGCAAAGCACCTCATGCTGAGGCACTCCATGCTTCAGAAGAAGCACCTGTCCCTGTGCCACCATTCAACGGCATCGAGAGAGATGAGACCGTAATGGTCACATAACTCGAAGTCGACGCCGGAATTGGTGACCCAACATGTCTAAGTCCCAATGACGGCGATGAGAATGAAGGTGAAGTTGGAATGACTAATCCAATTCTCGACGGGTGCTTGAGAACAAGTGGAGGCTTGTTCCAGTCCCAGTTCTTAGCAGAAGTAGTTGTTGTCCAAGACACACACAATCTGCAGGAACAGTATGGTAAAGGCAAAGCTGAGGAAACCTCAAGCTGAGACAGCCAATGCTTCAGAAGAAGCACCTGTCTCTGTGCCACCATGCAACGACAGCGAGGAACTCGAGGCCATACTGGTCACCGAACTCAATGTCGATTACAGTGACATTGGAGATGAGAACGGAATGTTCCAAATCCCTTTGACATTGATGACAATCCTGGTGAGGTAGAAACTGAGCCAATTGTCAATATCCGGTCTTCTGAAAGAGTGACTGGATTCGGAGCTTGCAAATAATGGAGGATACCTTTATTTCAACTCCGGCTCTTAACAGAAAGCGCCTACGTGGCAGTAATTGCTCGATGGCTTTCTGCGGTTGTGAATGGGAAGGGCAAGCACATCGCGCGCTCGGGCAGGAGATTCTCTAGGAGACGCTCGCGTCTACATGCCACCATTCAAGGGCGAGTAATTCGAGGCCATTCTGGTCGCCGGACTGGACAGCTGATCACAGCGTCGGTGATGAGATCATGCTTTTGTCCGAGACGTCAATAATGTCAATGTTGATGATGAGAGACATGGGTACCCTATTTCCTGAGACGTTGAAGCCGACGTCGGTGATGAAGGACTTGTGTATCCCAGTTCTCGAGACTTTGACAATATCGACGTCGGTGATGAGGATTTGGTCAAACTGAGACGTTGGTGATGACAGATTCGGATTGACTTCATGAGCTTGGTGCAGCATACGGACACCAACCCGACTATTGATATGGGAGGGATTCGCTTGAGACGAAGAAGGCGTCATGCCATGACGAGCACAGCTGAGTAAGATTCTTCTTGCATGTAGTCTTTACCTCCAGCATATCTAGCACCATGCTCTTCAAGTGTCATACTAATTATCACGGTTATCAGTTACGGATACCGGCAAGCCTTACGCAGACGATGGACCCCAACAACCCCGACCATCACGGTGACTTCGAGAGGACTTCGACAGGGACATTGACGGGGACTTCGACAAGGGACTTCGACAGGACTTCGACAGGACTTCGACAGGACTTCGACAGGGACTTCGACGGGGACATCGACGGGGACATCAACAGGGACATCAACAGGTTAGGAAGACGACGGAGGATATGGAAGGAGAACCGGATGAAGGGCATTCACCAACTCCACGAGAAGAACACCTACCGGAAACATCAAATTCGAGCATATCACACAAAAAGGCCATCACTATGGCAAATCTCTCATCGCGACTGAGAGGGGTCAGGGGCGGGTTTACAACAAAGCCATCTTATGGCAATCAATGGTGAGTCTCACAAGCCTTGGCGAATGGTGGATTAAGGCTGACTGAGTCTGCAGAAGATCTGAACACTTGTGGATATCATTTTGAAGCAATATATATGCTGATTCTCTCATTGAGCAAACAGATTCATTGTTTGTGGACATCAAAATTCATCATGATAGCCAGATAGAGGGTATATAAACAAACAAACATCAATTCCTTCAAGCAACTCAAATTTCTTAGGCTTTATGAGAAGCCGTGGCCTTCTCAGGATCCTCATCGATGACTCCGCGTTGAGCGGCCACTTCTGCCATATCAGAGTCATGCGCGACATCAAACTGACGGCCCAGTCTCTCCGGCCCAAAGAAGGTAATGATGATGACATAGGCGTAGACGCATCCCATGAAAATGCAAATAACCTTGCCATACTCGTAGCGGTGCTTGACCTTCTCCGTAGGCGGCAGGGGGAACCGCTCACCAATCGTCGACTCGATGGTAGAGCTGGCAGACGAAACGAGGTTACCCAGCTGGTACGCGGTACCGACAGCAAAGGTACGGATAGCGCCAGGCGCAAGCTCCATCAGATGGATGGGGATGACGCCCCAGGCGCCCTGCACGCAGAACTGCTCGAAGAAAGCAGCTGCCATGACGGACTTGTCGGTGACGAAGGTGTAGGGGTAGAGCAGGGCACCGCCGACGATGCTGATGACGATGATGGAGAATCGTCGGCCGAAGATCTGACTCGCCCAGCCGCAGAGGGTACCGCCGGACAGGGCGCCGAGATTGGCGACGACCTGGGTGACGGTGACGGCGTTGGCAGAGAAGCGGAACTGGTTTGACAGCATGGTGGGGTAGAGGTCCTGGGAGCCGTGGGACTATTCGACTTGTCAGCTGCATTCGCTGTTCGCATGAGGGTTGAACATACCATAAAGTTGAATCCGGCCATGAGCAGCACGAGATAAATCAGCAGCAGCCAGTGCCGCTTGAGGGCGATCTTACCCTCCGAGAAGAAGGTCGAAGTGACGCCGCCGCGGACCTCGGCACGGATCGCCTGGCGCTGTCTGAAAGCCTGGGTCTCGGGCAGACACAGCCGGAAGGCGATGATGAGGACGGGAGGGCAAGCAGCGAACCAGTAGAAGGGTCTCCAGCCGTGCGAGGTGGTGTTGACGAGGGCGCGCGCGAAAGCCGTTGCGAGTAGGTATCCGAAGGCGTAGCCCTGCTGCAGCAGACCGGAGACAATACCACGCGCCTCCATGGGACAATCCTCGAGGGCAGTGGCCGCTACATTACCGTACAATCCGCCCATGGCGATTCCGAAGAGAGCACGGCAGGCACTATGCCGATCAGTGACGTTCGACCCGACAAGAGGAAAAGACTTACAGGAACTGATTGTATGTCTGGCAGAAAGCCGTTCCGAGCTCCAGAACAATGAAGAGGATGTTGTTGACGACGAAAGGCCACTTCCGGCCCCAGCGATCGGACGCGATACCGAATGTGATGGCGCCGACGGATCGGAGCATGAGCACGAGGGTGATACCCCAGGTGATATCGGAAATGGATTTACCGAACGTCTCGGCCAGTCCGGAGGTGGTCAAGGAGACGGTGAAGAAATCGAAGGCGTCCCATGTCCAGCCGAGAAAGGCGACCTGGATAGGTTAGTTCGGGTTATCCAGTGAGGATGTGATCAAGGGCTAACTCACCAGGAAAAATAACCATTGTTGTTTGTTCAGGAGGGCAAGAGCCTTGAAAGGATTGGGAGCAGGGTTCATCGGCGGCTTCAAGGTCGGAATTCGAGTGATGAGGTATCCGCCGATGCTCATGCGAGGGCCGTCCTCGTCCGTGGCTGAGACGGGCTCCTCATGGTGAGGCTTTCCCTCATACTGTTCAGCCATGTTGAGGGAGAGGATAGCTGACCGAAACCAGAATGGAATGGACAGCAAAAGGATGAGATGTATCACAAGAAGCGTGGATGAAGAAGGAAAATGTCACAAAAGCAGCAGAGAGGGAGCTGGGCCAGTTTTAAATCAGCGAACGAACGACTCGGCTGATAAAAAGAAAGTCATTATAAAGCCGAATGACATTCTGACCCCTCACCCCGGTCGTATTCCGTCTGGGGTATTTGCTTAGGTCCAGTTTTAAACACTCGTGGAAACATGCTCTAGTGATCTAGTCAGCAACTAAGCAAGTTTAAGCGTCGGAGAAGGAGAGAAACCGTGGGACCAAACAGCATTCAGAGACGGCCAACCCACGGATGGGCCGAGGGAAGGTTTTGGTGGCAGTCTTGGGAGAAGCCGGTATTATTCTCGACTCCTTGCATGAAAGTTGAGATCTAAATTCTGATGAGAACATCTCCGGTAGTGACACTTCTCTACCCGATTCTTAGAAATTCCATTTATCTGTCAAAATGATTGGGGGGAAAAAAAGTCAGGTTGATACTACGACGGCAAGGACACAGGAATATTGCCAAGCTTTACTCCAAAGGCCAAGAATCTCCCACAGTCTGGGGATACAAATTTGAAATGACGCCCTCATCCTGATTCAGTTATGATCTTATTACTGTTTCTGTTCCATGGGATTTCTAGAAATCAAACAGAAATGAGTTCTGCTATGTTATGGTTCGGCATCCTTTTCTTGTCAGACTGATTCGCTTTGCCGAACTTCCTGTCATCCGCGAGCTTGTCCCAGTCAATCCGGAGAAATAAAGAGAAAAATCTTCGTTTCTGACCCACCATTTCATGCGCTCTAAGACTGTACTACCTCCAAGTAGCTAAGTGCACAGACAAGTTTTTCGCCCCTTTGATTGGAAGAATTGTGTCACAGGGTGGGATCGCCTATTTAGTGTTCAGTGTTCAGTGTTCAGTGAGATTTACTGTTCGTGCCATGGTCTGCTGGCTGTATCTACCTTACTTGGGGTCGGACATCGGCCGAGACAGGTAAATAAGTTAAATTTCATTCGCTCGTCCTTTGGTTCAATGCCGGAGGTTCAGGTTCCTTCTGAAAATACTAATATTATTCCCGCATTGTGCGGGGTTTTTGTGTGGGGATATCTAGACTTCTCTCCAGATAATTTGGAGAACTTGGTATTGCAATCGGGATTCCTCGTTGGATAGGTGAGTCCAAAGTGCTCAAAGATACGATTTATTTTCGCCAAGGTCAAACTCAATAATAATGTTGGGTTGTGGCTTAGGATAACAAAGCCTTTTGTCATGTTGGGGTGGCCATGCGGCTTCTGACAAGCTCGCCCAGACAACTCTTAGTGCTCTTGGACTCTCGACGCTCTTGGCCCAAAGCTTCTCTAGACAAACACCTGCTTGACTCAACAACTCAGGTTGAGAAATGTGTGAGACCAAATGGCTGCATCAATCTACTGTACGAGACCTTTGCGACTCCTTCAACGCTAGTCTCATGTCAATTTCGCTTCCCATCAAGTGAGCAACTGCTTGGACCACACTCTCAAATAAACTTATCTTGAATACCGCTCCGTATCCACATTCTTCGGACACTTTCCGTCAAGGTCCAGACTCAAAAGAAAGGTATTATAGCCTCATGCACTCGGTTTCGCCGTGAATCGGGAAGTCTATTACCATTTACCAGAGGATAGCCATATCGTCCTAAGACCGTGGTCGGTACGGCGAGGAATCATTTTCCTGCCTCTGACTGCAATCGTTTGAGTCAATCGTCTTCCCGATAGACTTCTGGCGCTGAGAACCCCATGTCGCATGGTTTCCGATCTTCGGAGCAACTAGTTTTCTTGGTTGTCTCTCGCAAATCTCAGTTCCTTCGTTCTACCCATAGCTCGCCACTTGAAATCGTTTGGACTCAAAGCTGACTTTGACTTGCTCTCCAGGCGTCATAAGAGAAAGTATACACATCGATCTCAGAATGAACGTCGAGAATATTCAGTAGTTGCCGCGCCGCCGTTGCACATCATATTCGAACGAGATATTGTGGTTCCGAAATCAATACCGAAGCCATCTGTGTTCTAGGGCCGAGAGACTGCATTATGCTGGCCAAAGTCTAACCCTCCTGCTTGAGATGCGAAGTAAGGGAATGGGTATCGTAACGGAATCTCTACGTTCCGTCGCAGACAAGCTGTTATGGTCTCTTCGAATTCATATTGTCAACGGAAGGTCAGCTGGACAGGCCTTCATTCGCGGCATTCGTTGGTCGCATACCTGATTTTAATATCGTGTTCCATCGCCGGTTGACTCCGGCAATCGAGGTTTGTCAACTTGTGTATCTCAGACATGGGTCCAGGTCTCGAAAGCTTCCCGCAGCTCGTGAACACAAAGCATGGCGCTTTTTACAGGAGGCGTTGAGTCACTCTTACCCATGCAAGGGTCGCTTTTTGGCACAGGTTGTGCACTTGCTTATAACCCTGACAGGGTAGACTTCAGGTCCTTAAAGCTACTGCTGTTGGTGGTGTTCAGAGAGTGATATTTGCACAGGGTTTTGGCCGTCGGAGCTCACTTTCTCAGTCATACCGATGATGGGTCGCCGACACTTCGGATCAAGGCCAACGATCCACTGCGAATCGCTTCTTGAACTCCGATGAGCAATGGGGCATCAAGAACTCGTACTCGTGCTTTGATGAGCTGCCTTTAGTAAGCTCGAGTGTAACCAGTTACATTATAGTTAACGGTCAGGCTCTTGATTGAGATGTAGGATGAGATTTGATGATACTGACTACTAATGTATCCATGGAATCTCAGAGGTCAACCTGTTGCCAACATTGACACTTTGTGCCATCTCGTCAGCATCGCTAAACATCAAACTCTTGGACCCAGACGTTCTATTTCCGACTAAATTTACACTGAGCTCAGCGTTTCATACAGTTCAATCCTTGCCAGTGCAGTCACTGCATCCTTCGTCCCGCGTTTTATCTCTAAGGGATCAATCTGGACCGCCATCCAATCTCACAGTAGTGTTCAATCATAACTCGAAGATCTGAGGACCTATAACCACAGTCAACAGAGGTCACGGTAGTAACAGCCACAGACACGACGTTAAGAAGAGATAAAAGCTCATCAGAATCTGCTTAATATACAATTTCAGATCATACCGACCACGGCCAGAATGTTGACCGAATCACACTTTGAAAATTTCTTCATGCTTCGTTCTTGGTTCTAGAATATTAAGGAAGCTAGAAGACCTACCTTTTCTGTGTTTGATTTGAGATCGACGAGCACGTTGAGTGGGGAGAGTTATCGACAAGATGGAAAGTGAAGAGGGAGGGATGTTTGTAGGCAGGGTCTCAACCCTCGCACTGTGTGTTGGTGCCTGGACATGTTTTGGTTTGCTTAGTTACCGGTGGTACGCCTGGAAGGTGATGGATTGTATGACCCTCCATGATGATATTAGGAGCAAAGATACCTAGCTAGCAGTCACACTGAGGTAATAGAACCAGATCGACCAAGTGAGGTAATATAACGATAATTCGACAAGTTCGATTCAGCTTGAAGAATGTTTACGCTGTACACTTTCTAGGGTGTATTTATAGACTAGATATCTTAGGATGTAGGTAAGGTACTCTGTAAATAGATTTGTTTTGTTGTAGGTCATTCTGATTGGTTTTTGATTATTGGAGGAGGCTTAAGATGGCGTGCTGTAAGCCTGTACCTGACGACCTCCATAATTCTTTTGTACCTTATGAGAATGATTATCTTTTAGGACCTCATGATGCAAAGACAGTGAACCTCCAAAGTTTGAGTTCATACGTAAACTTATCCCTGGTTATACTCTGACCTGACATTGCCTTGTTTCTTGGTGTTGGTGTAGCTTTTTAGTATTGCAAGCTTGGACAAGGTGGATGACGTCGCCCACACCAATTCGAAAGGATTGGCATTTTTGGATGGACACAACAGCATCGGGTCTGTAGTCACTGTAAAATCAATCGAAAGATGCTGCTAATTTTTTTAGCAATGGCTCCCTTGTTTAATCCCTGCTTATGCCAGGCCCAATCCAGGATTCATTGATTCTTTGACATAGTCAATGGTCTGTCTTCCCTGCCATCCTGCAGATAAGAAGCGTGCCGAGAGCATCCGCCAAGCCCGTTCCGTCTCCGGCCCCCAGCAAAAAAAAGCACCAAATCAAGGCCTCGTGTGGATTATTGGATCTCACGGGGTCGACGGAGCACAACCTATCTACCTCAAGGCTGCTAAGGTAGTCAAGAGGTATCCATATCTACTTCTTCTTCTCCAGTTTCATCCCATATTACCTCTACATCTCTCGCAGACCCATCTCCGTCGCCTTCCTCTCTCCCTCTCATTTCCTCCTTATCACCAATCCGGCTGCTCCCCGCCTCCCGGTCAAGGGCCTCCCGCTCTTTTCGTCCTGTACCAAAGGGGGAGCTAAGATTAATCGAAGAAACAACAGAAAATTAATTCTGAGGCTACGAGACCAGCCACCAATCAATCCATCATCACCCTTACACTCGTTCAATTCTGCAGTTGCTCCTCTCCTTCCAATCAGCTCGTCCCAATTGCTCCTTTCGCATTCCTGGGGCTCATCCCTTACCGCTGTCGCGATAAACCACCCAACCCAAGGTCTCAGACTGAGATCCGCCTTTCCGCCCCAGAAAGCTTCGATCGGTTCCTGCGTGCTGGATGAGTACGAATATCTCCTCCTCCTCCTCCAATGCACAGACGCTCGTCTGGCTCTCCTGTCGAGGACGACGCTGAAGACTCGCCTCTGGTCTCCCGAACCCCAACAGAATCGACAGCACATGCCCCTAATAATAATGCCTTCGAGACGGCCGAGAAGTCGCGCTCCCAGATAGCGAAAAGAGGCACGAGTTTCGATCTCCGACGAGATAACGGCGCCTCGACTCCTCGCTCCCGAAACTCGAGTCTGTGGAGGACCCCATCGTCCTCCTCGACGACGACCATGATGGCCGCCGCGTCTACCGATACAAAATCCTCCTCGACATCCTTCCTGATGCCATTGGCCTCCCAGCGACTTCCGATGGAGGCTTCTCCTGAGAGTTCTCGGTTTCGGTCCTCCCGGCTTCGCAGCCCGTGGTCGTGCTCGATATTGACCGCCCTGACGACCCTTGTCGCATCCGTGTTCCTCTTCTTCATCGTCCGCTCGTTCTCTGCTCGTCAGGTAGGCGGAGATGGTTGTGGGATACCTGTGATGAGCCCAACGTTTCTCCACATGGTGGGCTTCGATACGGAACATACGCGCTTCGCCAGCAAGTACAACCTCTATCTCTACCGGGAGGAGGGTGTCGATTTTTACAACCATGAAAACCTGGGAGTATGTTTTCCGTCTCTGACTCGTCAGCTGCACTGCTAACAAGCCCTAAAGTTGAACGGAGCTCCCGTCCTATTCTTGCCCGGAAATGCCGGTAGCTATAGACAAGTCCGATCCCTTGCCGCCGAAGCATCGAGGCACTTTCACGATGTCGTCCGTCATGACCAGGAGCGCATCAAGGCGGGTACCCGGAGCTTGGATTTCTTCATGATCGACTTCAACGAGGATATGGCTGCGTTCCACGGCCAAACACTCCTTGACCAGGCGGAATACGTGAACGAGGCTGTCGCATACATTCTCTCCCTCTACCATGACCCCAAACGATCGCGAAGGGACCCCGAACTCCCCGATCCCAGCTCGGTGATTCTCATCGGACACTCGATGGGTGGCATCGTCGCCCGTACCGCATTGACCATGTCCAATTACCAGGCCAACTCGGTCAATACCATCGTCACCATGTCCGCGCCCCACGCCAAACCGCCCGTCTCCTTCGATTCGGACATCGTTCACACCTATAAGCAAATCAATGATTATTGGCGGGAAGCATACTCGCAGACGTGGGCCAACAACAACCCTCTGTGGCACGTCACTCTCATTTCCATCGCTGGTGGCTCGCGCGACACCGTTGTGCCGTCCGACTACGCTAGTATCTCGTCTCTGGTCCCCGAGACTCACGGCTTTACTGTCTTCACCTCTAGCATTCCGGATGTTTGGATCGGGGTGGACCATCTATCTATTACGTGGTGCGACCAGTTCCGGAAGGCGATCATCAAGTCCCTTTTTGATATTATAGATGTTCGGCGTGCAAGCCAAACTAAACCGAGAGCCGAGAGAATGCGGATTTTCAAAAAATGGTACCTCACAGGCTTAGAGTCGGTCGCCGAGAGAACTCTACCTCAGAAGGGTTTGTCCACTTGGTTTACCCTTTTCAGTCGGCCTTCTCTTAACTAACTGTTTTAGAACCAAACACGCTTCTTACTCTAGAAGACAAATCCAATTCGATCCTACCGCAGGGTCAGCGACTCATCCTGCGCGAATTGGGCCATCGCTCGGGTCCAAAGGTTTATCTCTTGCCCATACCTCCGCAAGGAGTATCAGGCAAAAAATTCACTCTCCTCACCGACCAAAAATTCGATAAGACCGGAGAGCATGGCAATCTGGAAGTTCTCTTCTGCAGCGTTTTCCCTCTTCAGAATGGCAAATTCGCAACTGTTTTCTCTATGAATATGGACTTTTCTGGGGGCAACACGGGCTCGACGCGTCTCGCTTGCAAGAATGCGGCTGAGGATGGTATTCACCTGCCAGCATCGACACCGGCTTCCAAGTATCCCTTTGATCGGGTCCAGCCTTTCTCATATCTGCAGTATGATTTGGAGGATCTTGCAGAGCACCAATTCGTTGCTGTTGTTGACAAGGCCGAAAATCCCACCAGAGGTTGGGTTCTGGCAGAATTTTCCGACAGTTCAGATGCTGTGATTAGGGCCCGTGGCGGCCTTGGTGGTCTGCTCAGTGCCGGGCTGAAGATGAGACTGCCCGCAAATCGTCCAATGCTCACCGAAATTAAAATTCCAGCTCTGCATTCCAGTCTGCTGGATTACAAGCTGCACATTGTCAGACACAATCACGAGAAGAAACAGGAGCTCTTCGCTCCTCTACTACGACAGTCGATATCTGACCCGCACGAGTCGAAATTCTTCGTCAATGTGGATAAGGTCAATGTGAACCTTCACGGTGTAGCTCCCTTCATGCCTCCACCCCTCCGCGAACAAGCAACTCTCGGCGGCGTCTCCTTTCAGCTGTGGACGGATCCAAGCTGTGGTTCCACTGTCGACGTGTCTCTCAAAGTGGACATTGCCGGCAGTTTGGGAGAGCTTGTGATGCGCTATCGGGCCGTCTTTGCTGCATTTCCCGTGCTTGTCGTCGCTCTTGTCCTCCGCAAACAATTTCAGATGTATGACGAAACTGGCTATTTCATCACATTCGCCGAAGGTCTGGACAGTGCTCTGCGGTCATCGTTCCCAATTCTGCTGCTTGCCATGTCCTTGCTGGCATCTTCTCTGGCCACATCGACACGACTCCCACCCAGCGACGAGCCGTTCCACTGGCGCGTTAATGCCACCGAGACTCCGATTGACTTTACGAAGAACGATCTGCTCTTGGGATCGCAGGATGCATTCTTCTGGTTCTTGGTACCTGTCTTTGGCTTGATCAGTGTCGGTGTCTGCGTTATTATCAATTACATCGCACTCATCCTTCTGTCTGTGATTTCTTTCGTCTATGGATACCTGAAAAGCAAATCAGGCTACATTAAACGCAACGACAAGGGGTAGGTCAATGCACACTTGTTTCTTACGAATCGCGCTGACTGAATTAGAAACCCTATCTTTACCGCTCCGACCGCGAGACGCCGGATGATCAACACTGCCATTCTGTTGGTGCTTGTTTCGACCTTGATTCCCTATCAGTTCGCCTACATGGTGGCGTGCATCGTTCAGCTCGCAACATGTGTGCGAGCACAATGGCATGCCACGGAAACGGTATGCATTATCCATGTCTTTAATGATACATTAACTAACAATATGCACAGAGATCCACTGCGCATTACAACTTCTCGAATTATGCCCACTCGATATTCATTCTCATGCTCTGGATCCTACCGATCAACATCCTCGTCCTCTTAGTCTGGGCTCACAATCTTGTTGTGCACTGGTTCATGCCGTTCTCGTCACACCATAATGTCTTGTCCATCATGCCTTTTATCCTCCTTGTGGAGACCATGACCAGCGGGACCATGATTCCCAGAGTCACCACAAGGTATGCGCCATCATTTCCTCGCGTCAGGGTCAGTCGACTAATCATCGTAGGTTAAAACATGTCACATCTATGATCCTTTTTGCCATTGCCGTCTACTCGGCAGTCTATGGCGTGTCGTACGCCTACCTCCTCCATCACCTCGCTAATATTCTTGCCGCCTGGCTCGTTATCATCTACTTCTTCAGCAGCGGCTTCTCCGTCCTACGACTTTGGCGCATTCTTGAAGGCGACGATGCCACACACGGCATGTCCGAGCCAGGCGGAAGCCATCAGAAAAAGAAGCCATGACGAAGCCACTGGGCCCGATATTGAACGTCTTAATTTATGTCCCCTTATCTAATCTTTCCTTCTCCTGTTCCATCTTTGTCATCTCCATTTGGCTGAAGGATCATTACGCATACCGGAGTTGGTTTTGCGCGTGTTGTTTCTGGAGCGGTGTTCTGCTTTTGTCGTTGTGCTCCCATTGCGTGATGGGAATTGACTGTACAGAGACAACTATATTGATCCTCTCATCGAGAGTCTACTGCAAGTTTGGGACTTTTCTCAGACGGCTTGACCTCGATATCCCCATCCTCTGCCTTCGTGTCTGTTGTCGTTGTCTACTCGCTGATATACGAGGTGCTGTATGTATGGCTATCTTCAATGGTTGTTTTGTTGGAATCTGGATATAGAGCGGTTTGTGTGAGAAACGCATGTACACAAGTCACGACGGTGATCGATAGACTATCAGTGGAGGCGAAGCAAGGAACAGGAATCATACATAATCATTCAACATTCCATTCCCTCCGAGCTATCATTGTAATATACAATATTTATACAATATTTCCAAGGGCGAAAGCTAGGTCTCGACCGGCCCAACCCGAACCTCACCCTGTCTCCTCCAGTCCGCAACCTTACGTTGCTTCCGCCACTCAGCAAGCCGCTCCGCCTTCCGCGCCTCAAACCGCTTCTTCCCACCGAACTTCAACTTTACGATCAGATCCGTCGCCTGGCCCCTGGTAAGATGTCTCTCGTGGATCAACCCCTTCCTGATATTCGCTTTATTCAGGAAGTTCACCTGCGCCTCCGATGCAGGGAGCTGCCGCCACTTCTCCCGCACCGAGATGTATCTCTTCTCGAACTTCTTGGTCGCGAATGTGTCTGCGGCGCGGAGGGCGGTCTCGAAGTCGGGGGCTGTGGCGATGAGCCGCGGACGGGTATGTGTGACTTCGTCATCGGGTTTCTTGTATTTGGCGACGTGGCGGACGGTGAAGATGTAAGGGTCGTCGGTTGTGTTGGCGGTAGCCGTGGGTTTGTACACTCGGCCTGTGTCTTCTTCCTTGTCGATTGTGAGCCAGCCTGAGGCGTCGGAGAGGATGTAGCGGTCGTCACCGACGCGGACCCAGGTGTGTTGGCTTAGCGAGCGAATATGTTTTTCTTTTTCAGATTTGAGGTCGGCGATTAGGTCGTAGATTGTGTCGTATTTTGTGAATGTTAGGTTGACGTCTGAGTCGTCCCGGGGGGCCGATCCGTCTGTTTCGTCGGCTGAGGTCCCGGTTGCGGTGCCTTTGAGCGGCCTGGCTTTCAGATCACTGGCTTTGGCTCTTTTCAGGACTTCGTCTGGATGCAGGCCGAATAGGGTTGGTGTGGAGCGGACGCCGGTGTTGAGGGTTGCCACCATGTCGATGATATGGCAGTCTTTCTTGCCGGGGTGCAATCTGAGTCCTCGGCCGATCATCTGGATGAGGAGGTTCCGCGACCGAGTCGGTCTGGCAAGTAGGACGCAGTCGATGTTCGGGATGTCGGTCCCTTCTGTGAAAAGACCGCAGTTCAGCAGCACGGGGTACTCTTGGTTTCTGAATGCGCGCAGCTGCTCTATCCGTCTTTTTTTTTGGGTCCTTGCCGTGATATACCGCGCATCGATGCCGTAGCGGCGGAAGGTCTTCGCGAGGTCTTGTGTGTGTGAAACGTCCACGCAGAATACCAGCGTGGACTTGCGGTCTTTCGCGTTAGCAAGCCATGCACGTACGGTGATATCATTGACATCCTCCGTGTTGACTGCCTCAGAAAGAGAGCGGATAGCAAAGTCCCCAGAGTGATCCTTCACCTGGGACAGGTTTGCCTGTGATCGGACCGTGGTAAAGAACGCATTGGCAAGCCAGTTCTCCTCGATCATGTCCATGTAATCTTTATGGTACACAATGTGATCGATGGCAGCACCCAGTTTCAGTCCGTCGTGCCGAGAAAATGTAGCGGAGACGCCGACGAGAGCTGGAGAATCCTTAGACACCTTGTCCACTCCAAAATGCCTCAGAACTTCTCGGTAGGAGTCCGCGACGATGTGGTGCGCTTCGTCCACCAGCACCAATTTAAATTTTTTCGGATTGAACTTTGCTAGTCTCTTTTCTATCTTTCCTCGCGTCAGAGACTGCACAGAGGCGACAATGATGTCCGCGGCTCGTGAAGCAAAGCTATTGCCCATCTCAATCTCGACGGTTCGGTCAGGGTATGCAAGGCGGCAATGTTGGGCTGCTTGTTCCACGAGCTCCCTTCGATGCACAATAATCAAAGTCTTGTCGCCTATCTCATTGCGTGGCGGGATGCGACCAATTAGCTCGGTGAAGATGACCTGCCAGCGTTGAGAGGAAGATCAGCCAGTGTCCGATTAATATGCGCAACCAGAACGGATACGAACCGTTTTGCCAGCACCAGTCGCAAGCGAGATTCCCAGGCGCTTGTGACCCTCGCCCAAATACTTTAATACGGATTGAATACAGGCCTCCTGATAGTCTCGGAGAACTATCGCTTGAGATTCAAACGAGCGCGAAGGCTCTGTGGTTGGACCTGACTTGGTAGAGCTAAAACGGCCATGTCGCTGCACTGCCAGAGGTCGCCAGTGAGGTCGACTAGCTCGAGTGCTGATGTTCAAAATTGGAATATGCCCCAGTCTCCGTCGAAAAACGTGCATCCAGTTCCCATGAAGCAAACGCATGTCGATAATGTGAGAGGCGACCAAGTCGTTGCTCACCTCAATTATGCTATCTAAGAGGCAAACAGTGCAAACATTAGCTTCTCTTATCAGAAATCTTTCAAGCCGATAAGTACCTCCACCCAACATTTTTGGTTTTTGGATCTTGTTGCTACATGTAATGTTGATTCATTCTAACTAATGCAATAATAGCTTCTTCAGGCACCTTAGACCGATGGGATGCTCCCATCATCCGCCCGAACTCGATGTCTTTGGTGTGTGTGCTTGAATCTCTCAAGACCTGACGATGAGCAGTTCAAGCGTTTACGAGCCAGATGATGACGAAGAAGCGTCTGATTCCGATATCGAATCCAGATACCCAGACACAAAATTCGCAGCCTCGTCTCCTCCAATCCAGGACTTTGAACGTCTCAATTCGGCAGAGTCCGAAGACCCAGACACTCCGGAGGTGATACCCAGAGCGACAAAAGGGACGCGGGCTCAGATATTGGATACTCTTCGCACATCACTCGGAATAGGATGTGTGGATGCATACACCGCTGAATTTGCAGAAGCAGTGAACGATACTGTGCCTTCCAATGTCGGCAGCGAAAATTACAATGCTACTCAAAATGGCGTCGCGATCTGGACTTCCGAAGAGAAAGAGATTCTGTTCAGCATGCTTGACAGAAAGGGGAAGAACGGCGCTGCGGAAATTGCCCAAGCGATTAGCTCAAAATCGGAGTTAGAAGTTCAGGAACATCTGAAGCTCCTACACAGAGGACTGGAACGGCAACACCTTCGAGATCCCCACAGCAGAACCATCGTTCTCGGCGAAGTTCCGGCAGCACTGGAGATCAGTCACGAATGTTGCAAGGCACTTGACGATTATGCTGAGCTATTAGCTCTTGAAGAACAGCGGGCCGAAGATGTTGCTGGAAGGAAGTTACATCAGAAGGTGTGGATTGTCGATCGAGAAATTGCAGAAATGGTAGAGAAACAGTTGGAGGAACGAGATGAGACTCCTCTACCTGGCTCAAGCGTCTATGTTACTGCTGAGTTTTTCAACCTCAATAAGTGGATCAGACTATCTGAAAGGTTCTTCATGAACGCCGGTGGTCCAAGGCTAGAGGACAATTGGCTCAACGTCGCCTGTGCTGACGAGACACCTTCCATAACGGCGGACGCTCTTGCGGATTTCTACGCTCTGGCTATAAGCGTGACTCGCCGTCTCGTACATTCCACCCTGTTCTTCGCCATGTCACGACTACGGAACATGAGGGAAACCGGAAACCGCAAAGCACGAATAGTGAGATCGCGTGATGTTAAGACTGCGCTGAATGTGCTCAATATGCCTCAGGATCGCTTCGACTTTTGGGTCGGATTAGCCCGAAGGTGCAGCTTGCAAGTTGCAGACCTCCGCCATAAGAAAGGATGGCACTCGGAGCTCTTGGATTACGACGAAGTGGAAGATATCCTTTCCGGAAAGGTTCCGGTCGACGCATCCCTTGATGCAAGAAGCGCTTCCAGGCGGAGATCCGAGAGTCGTGCCCCGCACGTCACAATTGAAGATGATGAGAACGAATCCGACGTATATTCCTCTGCTTCATCCGTATTGTCATCGCCTGAAACGACACCTATCGATGAGCCGTCAGTACATTTCGAAGACGAGCACGCAGAAGAGATCGACCAGGTGAATAATGCCTCAGAAGAAATGCGGCTTTGGCGCTTGATGGGGCAGCCAGTCCCATCTGGAGTTTCATCGTTGGCCTCCAACACGGAGCAAGGCTCCAAGTTGCGTAAGCCGATTGGCGAGCGCAAGACGAAAGAAGACTTAGTCGATTGGCGCGATCGAACTTTATATCGAAGCGATTGGGAGGAATACGGGCATGATATACACGACCTTTATGAAGACTTGTCAGAGAATAGACGAAAAAGGAGACGTATTGAAAGACGCACGGTCACTCAAGAATCTCCCGTCTCAATAGCCAGCGACAGAGATCATGAAATGGGTGACAACAACGATTCTCAGGGGCCGGGGAACCACGCCGTTAAGGACGAGCTGAGAGCCGAAAATGACGCAGACGGCGACGGTGCACTGCAAATCGAAGGTGCCGATGATGCAATGGACATTGAAGACTCCGTCCACAACGAGTCGGATTCTGCAGGCAGCGGAGACGCGAGGATGGACATCGAGACAGGTCCCCTCGATCAAGGTCCAGGTCAGGATTTCAGGCAGGATAGAGCGGAGTACAGTTCAAACGAAGCATCAGCATCTGACTCCGAGTTGAGCGATGGGGAACAAGAGCATCCACCTTCATCTCCCAAACCGGAAAGCGAAGCCATTGCGTCCGAACCACAAGATTCAGGACCTATTAAGCGAGAGGCTATTGGTGTTGATTTGAGCGAACAGTCTGCTGTTGAAGTCGCTTACGACTCCGATTCCGATGCTACCTCTGGTGAAGAGAGCGACTCCGACCAAAAACCACATGTTCACACACGTAACCATGTCGGGGGTGTGCCTGTGAATGAAATTGAAGGACCGAGTATCAAACATGAGAGCTCGCACTTTGATTATAATGACAGCTCGAAGCCTGAGCGCGCGTCCGCTTCTGATCTCGAATCCGACGAGGGTAGCGAGCTCGACCAGAAACCTAACATACATCCTCAAAACGAAAATAGAAACGACAGGATACCTGTTCGTCAGGACTCAGGGCCCGTTGTCAAAGAGGAGAACATCAAATTCAGCCAGAGCGAAGAGTCCGGGTCCGAGTATGAGGTCGACTCTCAGGTCGAATCAGACGAGGAGGGCAAACCAAATCCACATCTTCGGGCTCCCTCGCAGCCAGTGATCAAACCTGAGCCTCGACTGAGAGGTACTGATTCAGATTCATACCTCGATTCCGATGAGACCGACAGCGACGAGGACTCGCCAACCCATCCCCAGGGAGGAATCAAGCTCGAACCCAACAGAGAAAGCAGCCAACTCGACATGGCGCACAAGGAGCCTGCATCAGAGCCAGATTCGGATTCGGAGTCGGGCTCATCTTCCGACGACGATGGTAGCAGAGACAAACATGAACGACATCAGAACGAACGCCTCAACACCGAGCTCAAGAATGAAAGCGAAGACAATCTGTCTTCCGGCTCGGATGACGACCTCCCCTACGATCGACACCAGAAGCGAGAGGATACATACTCATCATCCGAAGATGAGGATGAGAAGAATAATCTCCCTCTTCATTCTCAGCCCTTGAGCCCGGTTGTTTGACGAGCAGAATAAGTAGGTTGACATGGACACGGCCGGATTCTGGCTATCGGTGACTATGGAGTTACCAAGCAGATATCTTGGGTTATCCATTGGTCGGATGCGTCAGACTTATACAGGGACTATGCTGTTATTATATAGAAATCTCATGATAACTATCAAGAAGAACTATACTGCCAAATACTGCATTATAGAGGTCGGCATGTACCAACCTCCAAAATCGATATTTATCATAGCTTGGGAGAAAGAAACAAGAGAATTGTTACTATATCGAATGGATTGAAGACACGGATAGTATAACTCTCAAACTCCAAAACATGTGCGCCTTTTCCTAGCTGGATGAACACAAACTGTAAACGTGGCAAATCATTGCAAAAACCCATCCATCCGCCGAGACATCCTCTACCGAACCCACGTCCAGAGATGGAGGTATCATTCGGGCATCCCTAGGTATGTCCTGCTTTCCTCCTAATCCGCCTTGATGATATTGTACAATGTTTATTATAAATGAGTAACCCACTCAATGTCCCATATCATCAGAAGAATATGTGGTATTGCGTTTTCTCGGTGTTTCGAACACGTCCAATTTCATGCGAGTTAAAATTTCTCGAGAATGTGTCATACGATCACAGCTCAAGTGTTCTGTAGTCAGCGCCCGCCTCTGCACTCAGGGGCTGTACACCGTCCCTCGCATCGCCACCTGCTGGTTGAAAGTTGTAGCGATTGCCTATGCCTGCTGTGGCAGCATCTCCAATGAGGTTAGCCGTCTCCTCTGTGGGTCCCTTCAGGCTGATAGCTTGGAGAGAGTCTTGGACTTCCTTGACTCTCCGCTTGAAGGCCATGCGGTCGAGGAAGAGCTGCTGGCGAGCGAGTTCCAACTCCCGGCGTTCAGCTTCGATGATCTCTTCCATCTCGTTGAATTGTTGCAGCTTAATTTCGAATTTCTGAAGTGTCACATTGACAGCAGCAGAGACGAGACGAGTCATCTCCCGTTCCTCATGCGAGGCGAGGGCCGCAGCACGTGCTGCGGAGGTTCCGAGCGCAACCGTTGCGAGAGACGACTTGGGCTGCTTCTCGACTTCACCGGACTCTGCAACTTCAACAGACGCCTCTTCGCGAAGGGTATCTACGTCCATCGAATCTTCGCTCTTGACGCCTGCGCCCTCCTTTTCTTTGCCCTTATCCGACGGCTTGCCGGAGCCCGAATCTTTGTCCAGCTGCTTCCTTAGTTCTTTGCGAATTTCTTCCACGGAACGTCCAGCTGCAGCAGCGGCCACAGCTGGCTCTGCCATTTGCGCCAGGAAAGCAACCACGGACAAGACTGGGTTCTCAACATGGTTGATGGGATCTCGTCCATTCACCGCGCGCATATCTGGCACGTCTTCGATATATTTATCCTCAATCTCAAGTTGCAAGAACTTCACCACACATTCTTCTTTGGTTCTTGTGCCGACATGATTGGCAATCTGCTCCCAGTTGTCGTCGAAATTCTCTAAGCCTTCAAGAAGCAGTATCAGCTCCGAATCGGACCAAGGAGCATCCTTATCCGGAGCAATTGTGTATGCGCTGTCTTCAAGCTTGACAAAGTCCGAGGCGTTGTGACTAGCAGGCATTCTGCCTTGTAAGAAACAGTTCGGGCAAAGATCGTACTTGGAGTCTGGCGCATTCGCATTCGTAGTTGTTGGCGCTGACTTGGCGTAATGGAATCTGAGTCGAGTGCAGTCGATGCCACAAGAGAAGCAATGGAACTTCTTCCTAGGCTCTCGGACCGCGCTTTCCAAAGCCTTGGAGGTGTCCGCAGCTGTACCGTTGGCGGCTGAGCCCTCCCCGTTGATCTGCTTTTCCTTATCTTCAGCAGCTGGTGTAATTTCCTTGCCCTTATCATCGTAAACGTTGCGGCGAATTTCAAGATTGAGATCGGCTTTGGATGCGGGAGTGGCGGAGGCAGCCCGGTCAGTGGCAGGGTGGGGCTTTCCGGGTTTGACGACGTGCTGAGGACCAGGCTGGAAAGGCTGCAGACCTCGCGGTGTATCTGCGATCACGCGGAAATGTCCAGTGAAGGGAGGACCGATGTTCGATGGCCGTGTTTGAGGGTCAACCTTACAGAAGATCACGTCAGCTTCAAAGATAGGATTGTAGACCAACTCCTGTAAAACCTACCTGATAGTTGATCAAGCCCCATTGCTCGAGGAATGAGTGAACTCGCATGATGGCGCATACATCTCCTGCCAAGTTGCGACGGCAAGCAGTAACTGTGAGATACTCGATGGGGTTCAATCGATACGTGTTGATCATGAAATCACGATAGTCTTTGTAGACCGCCGGCGTCTTACTCCGGTTACGACCGTTAAAGAACTCCGCTAACGCCTTCTTCTCTATCGGGTGAATTGTATGCATGTCGAACCATGTCGAATAGCTGGGAAGGATGATGGCGTGTGTTTGGGAGACGAGATGTGAGCGTGCCGAAGCTTCGAGCGATGACTTTGCCTGCACCGTTTGTTCTTCAGAGGCACCCTCAGCAGACGGCTGAGCACTCGCGTCGCCGGTTCCATCGCCTCCATCGGTCTCCTTCTTCGTCTCTGTCTCGGTGCCGCCCATCTCTTCATCTTCAGGCTCACACTCGTTCTGTGGCTTGGGAGAGGCAGGTGCATCTAGTGGATTATCAGTGCCCGAAACATCTTCGCTTTCCTTCACAAAAGATCCACTGCGTGATTGCGACCCTGTGGTTGCAACAGTTGGCGAATCTGGTGTCTTCTCAGGGGTGAAGTGGAGGCAAAACCTACCGGATGCATTGGCCAATTCGGCTGGGGTATCTTGTGGCGCAACTGCCGCACTAACATTGTCGGCAGCGGCGCCAGTAGCAGCAGAGTGCTCCTCCATTCTGTTTGACTGGGATGGCAGCTGAAGATTGGAGGTCGCAAATGATGTCGAACAAGGCTCGTTGGCCGGTCTTCAGAGGTCACTAGACTGGGGAAGACAGGGTGCAGGTGCAACCCTTGAATGGGATGAATGCTTCAAAAGACAAAGCGACAAGTCTCCCGGGCAAAAAAAAAAAGAATGGAAAGCGACGTGAAGCGTAGGATGTTAGTGGGACTGATGATGGATGGGATAATTGCATCCAGGATCGCAGCGTAGTTACCTCTAGTCGCGACACGGCCAAAAACTCGCGCCAAGAGCCTCACGTGAATTAGCCTTTTTAGGACTAGCGCACATCTGAATTCCCTGCTACTACGGAGTACCAAGCACCAATTCTACCTCAACTTTACCTGTCTAGTTCCATAGTTTTTTGATTTCATATCAGAAAGCAGCATTGCTGTAGAGCGCGGCTGACAAAAGTAATACTTTGGTGAGCCTATGATGAATGTTCAGACTCAGTTGCTTCTTGAACGTAGTTCAATTCATAAACCCAAATATTGCGAAATCAGCTCAAGTACTTCTAATGTCATGCTCTAAAAGGGCTTTGAAAACATGCACCAAGATCCCCGAAACTCAATCATATTCCTCATTTTTTTTGTGCGGCCGCGGCTGCCTCTTTGTCTTTGAGAGCCTTGGCGATAGCAGGCTGGGCATGAAGTCTCTTCAACCATGCGTTGAGGTTCGGGAAATCCTTCTCAAGATCGATGGCGTCCCCAGTGATTCCCGGAATAATCTGGAACCAAGGCACGAATGCGGCGTCGACATAGCTGAATTTGTCACCGACCAAGTACTCGCGATTTTGAAGGTACTTGTCCAGCACGCCGGATACACGGCGGATTTCGTTATAGTAGCGCTCCTTCGCGCTTTCGACCTTTTCCGGATGGTAAATGGTAAACCACACAGCTTGACCAAAGTACGGCCCTTGACCGGACATTTGGAAGTGGAGCCACTGCTTAGCTTGGAAGTACTCTGGAGTGCCGGCGGGAAAACTGATGGTGTTTTGCTTGTCGTACGTTTCGATCAGGTATTCAAGGATGGCGCCCGATTCCCATAAGGTGATTCCCGTGTTGGGGTCTTCGATCGCTGGGACACGGCCATTGGGATTGATGTTCACGTATGGCTCCTTCTTGATCCCGTCGAATGGGACGAATTTGTGCTCGTATGGAATACCCAGTTGTTCCAAAATGAAAACCACTTTCCAAGGGTTAGCGCCCATGACATGGCCCCAAAGGGTAATAGGCTTCAGAGACATCTTGCAGTTTGCGCAAGGAGAAAAGAAAGACGAGTCAGCGATTGATCAGTAGAAGATCCTTTTCTCGAGGAGCTTTGGGTCTGGTTTTCATCAGAGAAAAAGCAGGCAACGGCAGAGATGGCATTGGTATTTATATATCTATCACTCCAACATCCTCATAGTCTCAGGACTAGGCACATTGAGCATGGCTGCAGGGCTTGACTGCGGCAGCTCACTGCTTGGGTGAGCTACAAAGCCATTCCGTGCTTGAAGGTTGAACATCAACACTTTATGCAGTAAATTATTAATCACTCGGACCGAAGTGGAGTGAGCATATAACATGCTGACAAATTGACCATCCTCATTAGGAGGTTGGATCGTTCTCATTGAATCAATTCATCGGCTTCACCAATGTGATGGGAAGAATGCTCAAGATGGATTATCAAGGATTATCAATCAAGTCATCCTTGCCGAATATCATCGAAGGACAAGGAATCGCGCTTGCTCGTTTGAGCACAATGGTATGCTTTAAGACCATAGCCTCATTTTAAGGCTATCGATTTTAGCTAGCGAGGGTAAGAAATCTCGAAGATCTTGGTACTCAAGGTTGTGGTGATGATTGTGTACTTAGAGGCATCATGCTGCTGGGTTGTTCTTGGCATATAGCTGACCGCGTTGTGGGGTATCCGCATGTGCTAGATGGGACATGCTTCTGCTATTGGACTCATCCACTCAGTATCATCTGTATATATGTAGCAAGAACATCTATTTGGACATTCTCGTAGACTTTGAACATACAGCATGAATGGTCACGTTTTCTAGCGTAAATGCTGACTGTTGGCCCAGCGAACAGACGACAATCGACGACTACCGGGTTCGAGGCAGCTACCAAGAAGAACAACAAAATGATTAGCAACCAATGATTCAGTACACGAATAATAATGCCAAAACAAGGAACTACTGTCTTCGGAATATGAAATAGATGCATGCAAACCTGTAAATCACAATTCTCTGAGTGCTTCCGAAGACTACATGATTGAGCGTGTCATGGACATGACTTCGGACTCAAAATGTGCCATGAGAACAAAAAACTTTTCCAGCCATTGAGAGAATTTTTTTACCAGGATACTGAAGCCATTCAATGTTCTAGTGGCGTCTAGTCCATTGATATGAGTGAAATACAGCATGATGTTCTATTCTTGTGATAAACAGATGTCTTTTTCGGAGTACATTTCGGAGCTCGGAGTGGGTCCAGTATCCAGAACAGGCAACAAATGGCCTAGACTGGGCTAACTGGCGATATGAAAATGTTCAGCGACTCTTGTTAAGCCTTGAAGACTTATCAAACGAGATCAGCGACACTTGAGGCTTTTACGGACAGTCTCGAATGCACGACCTCAGTCTTCTTTACTCCGTCAGGGCTACTCCGTGATTTCGACTTTGACTCGTTCGCGTTATTTTTTTGAATAGATCGCAGTGAGTACGGAGTATCTACACGTTAAGACAAAATCAGGACTACTAACTACGATCGATAGGTCACAGGTGGATCCATTCTGCACCTTTTTGGATCGGGTGATTCTGTCAAATGTTGCATTCGCAAGTCGCGATCCCACATATTTCCATAATTGCCTGAGGGCTAGAAACCTGATGCTATACTACACATCGGCGACCAAAAAGGGAGTCCGACAAGGTTAGGCATATTGACAATTCCCCACCAGGCTCTTACCATAATGGACGTCGTAATATTTGACTCAAAACATTTCAAGGTTGGCGATCGAAAGTATGGACATTACCCGAAGTAAAAGCCAGAATGATCGATCTTTGTTTGTGGGTCCATATGTCCCTCAAGCAAAGCCTCAAAGGTGGCTGACATGGGATTCATACTCCGTAGATCATTGGCGAGTTCCATAATTAGGGGCCTGTAAGGCAGAAAATTCTATGATGTCTTTGCCTAGCCTTGCTGCATGTCGGTGGGTCCCAACTCTTTTTTACCTTACTCCGATGACATCGGAGTAGAGCATTTGATCCCGGAGTAAAATGTTGGTATACAACTTCACGCCATCCAGCAAGTATATAAGGAATGTCGAGTATCGCCCTTCATTCTGAGATTCATCACTCATCCACGATCAAGCTCACTTGAATACCATCACTTTCTTGACAAAGCCCTCAAACAAACAATCCTCGCAACACCATCACAACAACACAACAACATACCAGAACTCTGAAAGCCACCACAAACCAAACAAAACAATCCTCCGACACCAGTCCTTGAAAGTATCTTTGAATATCAAGACAAAATCACATCAAAAACTTCTCCAAACCACCAATCACTACTCAAAGTCAAAATGCCTTTCAGAACCTCCATGTCCTCCAAGTCCTCCTCCAGCGACGCCGCATCAACACGCTCCGTCTCCTCCAGAGCATCAACCCTAAAGGGCGTCGAAAACATGCACAAGAAGTGGCTCTCGATGAAGCACAAGGCCTACACCGACGCCAGCCCTTCCCCATACTCCGTTTCGGCTACCCACAATGAGGCCGTCGCCAGCTATCTCTCTCTGCGGTGATTCAACTACATCAGAACTTGCTGCTGCGCCGTCCGTCCTGGAGACTGGACGGGGCTTCCGGGATGATACCCTCTCATCGGCTTGAAACGACGACTAGACACGACAAATGCACTGCGCCCTTTTATCTTTTTCTATGAGCTATTGGAATTGTGATTCGAGGCGAATGGCGTCAAGGATTCGATGGACAAAAAAATAAAATCAATGATGGATACCTCATTTGAGCACTTTTGCATGCGGCTTCGTTGTTTCATTCTTTTCGCTTGGCATGTTGCTGTCGACTTGGCTTACTATACTTAATAATTGCCCTAATAGATTAATGCTTTGCCTGCAAACTATGATATGTAATCTAGAGCGATTGCTTCTTGAAACAATGGCTAGTGCTTTCTCTGCCCTCTTCGAAAAAGTGGGCTTCCCTAGACATGAAATGCTCGATCATCAACAAATATGCATCATCATAAGAAGGCTAGTATATACATAGAACCGGAACTGTCGCTAGAGTCCGGCCATCAGCTCGTTCATGGAAATTGGTTTGCGCACAGCATTTGAAAACCCATCATGGTACGTGATCCAGACTTTCCTTCCTGCTTTGGATGCTTCATTCTGTACTGGACTGTCATCTGAGCTTTGCGGCTGCGGCTGCGGCTCCTTGATGATTCTCCCGAAGAAGTCACGCTTGATGCCTGGGGCGTCTCTCATTGCCTTCTTCTTCGCTGATTGGTCGTCATCATTCTTCCCACCCTCAGACTTGCCGTTCGAGGTCCTCCCAGTCTTGGACGAACTAAGGGCTTCGGATTGTTTCCGCATGGTCTCTTTGCGGTATTCTTGGTCTAACACCTGACGAACGGCGTATCGAACAGGAGCAGAGCCGCCTGTGTCTGCTGAGGTACCTTTGGTCTTGTGGAATGTCACAAGCGAATCCAATGGCCTGTGAGAAACTTGTTAAGCTTGGCCGCGCAGCAGAAACACATAGGCAACAGGAAGTACTTACGGTTCCATACGATAAGCCCAACCCCCATGCCCACCACCTTCACCCTCAATTCGGACTTTTTCGAATGTCACACCTAAGCCTGCCATGACTCGAACCGCAGCCTGAACAAGTGCCCGTTCACTTTCTTTGCGAACACTGGCCACACTCTTCTGCTCCCCACTTCCACGCACCACAACTGGTTTCACATCAGGCGATAGCATGCGTATGAGATTTGGGATGAGTTCCGTGATCAAGCAATCCGTTGAGCGAAACAATCGTAATAGAGGAGCCGAGAAAGAGGATTGGAACCCCGTAAGGATAGCGCGGCTCTGCTTTTGAGCTTCGAAGGCCGCAAAATCTGCTCTTGGTCCCGAAAAGGGGTGCTCCTCCTCTTCATCGTCATCGGGATTCTTAGATATTCTCTTGCCTCCGACGGATGAAAATAGGTGGTGAAACGCTAGTACTGACTGGCTCAGATAGGGTGTGAGTTCCCAATCTTGGGAAGTAAAGACTTTCGAGGAGATGGCATCATGGAAGTGGAGCCAGTCATATGCGGCATTAGGCTTGGAAAGAAATGTGTCGTCCTGATATGATTGAAGGGGATAGGTAGCGAAACATTCAGATACGCAGCGGTCATGATCGCCACTGGCATCAACCATTTCGCGCAGCTTATTGATGGCATGCCGTTTTCTAAGGTCCGCAACGCCGAGAGGCACATTCCCGCTAGAAACGGCGAATGGGTCATGGAAGGATTCAACGTTTATCGGGGCGTCAGGGAAACCTCCGCCTTCCAGAAAGACACGGTCCACAATGTCCCGTACACCTCCGCGATTCAGCCCTTTGAAGAATGAGCCTGCAGCCGTGCCACTGAGAACCTGTTGTTCGAGCCAGCTCCTTGTCAGTCTGAGAGACGACAGGCCTTCGTTTCTTAGCTTATGGGCCACCCACTCCGCGGCCACAAGTACGCTCCGGATATCACCTTCAGCCGTCCCACTACTTTTGAGGCCGCCGCTTTTCTTCCTCGCCAGACCCCACGATGCCTCGCATAGCCGCCGCACACCATCGTTGTCTGATGGAATGCCCTCCAGAGCTAATATGTTCTTCAAGCGTGAGACAACATTCTCAAACGGTGCTTGGCGGACATGAATGATCTCGGCAACAGAGGAGGCCCTCAGGGGGCGTAAACTAGGGTGATAAACATCGTTGCAAACCAGGATCAGTGGGCGCAAAAACCGGAAAGTGTCGCCTTTACGTTTTCTCCCGTTCTTGGTGTTCTGATCGGTTGAACGTGCCATGTTCTTCTGATCGAGTAGAACGAGGTCGATTAGTGCCTTCATGAAGCCTCCTTCTCCACCGCTCCCAGACCCGCTAACAACTCCATCGACTTCGTCAACGACGACGCACACTGGTCGCCCAGCCTTTCGCACTTTGCGATCTCCCACCTCCACATTCACTCCTTTCACGTTTTCAGTGCCAAGGGCATCTCTAATCCGCCCTTTGACGACGTCCCTGCTGCGATCATCACTGGCATTTATCTCTAGTACCTCGTATCCTGCCTGTTTGGCACAAACGTGTGCCAATGTAGTTTTTCCGAGACCTGGAGGACCACACAACAGTAGAACCTTACGGTGCAGCCGTTCGCCGTCACCATTGTTGTCGCCCGGCTTTTTGGTTCTCGACTTGGCAAGATTTGGGAAGACGATTGGCTCCCAGCCCTTCAACCATCGCAAAACAGATCGATGGATGCGCTCGTCGCCAATGAGTTCAGTGAACTTGCGAGCGCGGTATTTCTCTGTCCACATCGCCGCTGCCATTTTCTTATTCCTCTGGCCCTCAAGAGGATCCTCGATTGACTTCTGTATCGTGGGGGCCGGCAGTTTTGTGGAAGCTTTAGACTGTTCACTTTCTCTTGCAGCCTCATCCAATATCCGATGGATATCAATACCATAGTAGCCTTTTTGCGCTCGCCCTGGTGCCGTGGCCGAGCGGCTCGCAACGAGCCTCTCGTATGAAACTCGGGGCTTAGAAGTTCTCAGAGGGATTGTGTGTGTCCTCCCCGAGCAAGTCTTTATCTGAACCAATTGCTTTGTTCTTCGTGGCAAGTCATAGGATAGTGCGATCGAAGCGCTCACGCTCGTAGTAGAAGGCTCTGTGTGTATAGGTCTTGAAACTATTGGCGGCAGGTCCACCGGCTCCTGCTCAATTAATTGCTCCTCCAGCTCAAATTGGCTCTTCATTTGAGCATCCTGGAACGCCGCCAGCTCATCCTCGTCTTCATCGTCTTCGTCCAGAAAGCCGCCCATCATCTTCTGCCGCTTAGGCTCCATTGACTGCGACTGTTCATCGTTTTTCCTCTTCTGCGCCTCATTTGGAGAGGCAGCGCGCGATGGGAAAGCAACCGGGGACGAGATGAACGGCATCTTGGTGACGGGAGGAGAAGAGGGTAAGTAGAAGCTTGAGTTTATTTCAGGTATTTCATTCGCTTCGTGTAATGTCTTTCGCGCTCTCGTTGGAGTGTCTGCTTCCATGTCAGATTCTCAGCCGTCCCCCACCCGCTCGTCAACGCTGCATACCGGGTCTCACGTCCTCGTCACTTCGAAAGACGTCAGATAGATTCCAAGCTCGATGCTGTATAACAACCTTCTTGCGAATTTTCTCTTGTCGCTGGAGATTCAAGGCTTCGAGATCGTCGGAGAAGGTTTCTGAAGGAGGGTTCTGTTCTTCGGAATGAAGGTGAATAGCGGGATCAAATGAAGGGGGAACCAATGGAGGAGAGGTCGTCATCAAGGTCGATTAGAGGGGCATATCAATTCGATGGCACTATATTAAAAAACAACAAGGAGGGTGGCTATTATCTGAGCTCACTCCCTATAGTTCAATTAGAAGTGGGATAAGACGACGCGTTCGAGACGCGCTGGCGGAGTACGCGCTAGGCCGCTTATCGCTGCTACTTCAAATGCAGGGTACTCCGTATCTACTCCGTAGTACTCCGAACTTGCACAGTAGTCTCCTCAACGCATCTCGGTTCATAACCTCGATCTATTTAAGTCAATTGAACGGACGATCACATTTTTCCATCGATAAAGAAGGCACTGCAACAGCGTTAGATGATATTTTGCGTGGTGACCACCTTCCTAGCCTTTGCTATGTTCTGTCCACAATCTAATTCAATGTACAGAGTAGCAAATAGCTTTTTGGCCTGTTTTGTACACGTCTCGTACGATTCGGGCGCACGTGGATCTAAGCAGGCTAGGATGCATTGTTGGGACTAGACTCCAAATCTATTTCATAGCGTTGAAGTTGCGTGGTATACAGTTATATAAACACCCCACCTGTAGATGTTTGCATAAGGGAATGAACAACATGACAAGGCTCAATCAAAATCATAAATAGGAACATCTGCAAGAAGATCCCAGTATTTACGCCTGGCTCTTCAGCTTCTCAGTAAGCTCTGGTACTTTCTCGAAAAGATCGCCGACAAGGCCAACATCAGCAACCTGGAAGATAGGAGCATCGGGATCCTTGTTGATAGCAGCAATGACCTTGCTGTCCTTCATACCAGCAAGATGCTGGATGGCACCCGAAATACCAGCACACAAGTAGAGCTGAGGCGCAACGTTCTTGCCTGTCTGGCCGACCTGGAGACTGTTGTCGGCAAATCCACTGTCAACCGCAGCGCGGGAAGCACCAATTGCAGCTCCCAAGGCGTCGGCAAGAGGCACGATAACGCGGTCGAACTCTTCTTTCGACTTCAGGCCACGACCACCGGACACAACACGAGAGGCAGTGGCCAGATCAGGGCGTTCGGATTTGGCAAGCTCTTCAGATACCCACTCGGTCTGAGCAGGAGCCTTGGGGTCAGCTCCCTCGACGATCTCGGCAGAGCCGCCCTCAGTCTCAGTGCCCTGGAATGCAGTGCCTCTGACTGTGATCACCTTGATGGGATCGGTCGATTGCACGGTGAGGATGGCGTTTCCGGCGTAGATGGGGCGGACAAAAGCTGCATCAACGGGTTAATATGCAAATGACTCAT